ATCCACTCCCCGATCATTTGTAACTGCTCCAGTGTGGTTTATTGTGTATTGCACCAACTGTTGCGTTCTTGAACGTATTTCTGTTAATCTTTCCAAGATTTGTGCAGCTACTGCTCGCATTCCATTCACAATCGTATCAATTGAAAGAATTCCGCCGCTTTCTGATGATGCTGTGGAAGCTGGAGTTGAGCTTATGGCAGGCGAGAAACTAGCCCCGGAATTATTAGTGGCTGACAATGACAAGGGGATGAAACCGCCCTTCGTTTCCACGTCGTCACTGAGATTTCTCAAAGCTTCTAAGACGGCTATTGTTGTTGGGTTACGAATTTTGTCAACCACCAGTCTTCTTTCCGGAAGCTCGTGCTGAAAGAAAATATTTGAGAAATTCATCACAGAAAAAGGCAGATAAACTGGCATTTTTCAAAAATCCAAATTCTCAAGGCCCGTCCTCTTATTTTTTGGTGCAGATATAACTTTGAATGACGGCCTTGTAACGAATAATTGCTATAAGTGCTGGGAATGTTTGTAGTGGTATTACCTGAGAAGAAAGCCGAAAGCAATGAATTTGGACGATCAGCTATTCAGCCGCAAAAAAATGCTTTTACAGAGCAAACTGAAACGGCTAGAACATACAACTGGTGCAGGCGTGAATCTCAATTTGTTCAATGTTTACGCAAAAAGATTCGGTAATTATTTTTCAGATTTCGCCGCATCGCACAACCTTCTGGATAACTACTGTTGCTGCACTGACCGATTGTGTCGCATCGGCTGCTTTGATTCTGGATAACGAAACACCCACTGTTACATTTTGATATGGCATACACTGAAAAAAAAGCCCGGGCTAGAACGCACTACGTTAACCCGTGCGAGAATGCGTTTTTGCTTAGCTGTTTATTGGGTTTCACTCAGAACCGAGCGCATTCTGTAGCGAACGATCGCCCTTGTCCTCTCCCAACATCCAGTTCCAGTTCTTCACTGAAAAGTGGAAACCACCTTACTAAAGCGGTCGTTTGTCAAACCCAGGCTAGAACGCACCAGGCGGGTCGATACGATTATGCATTTTTGCATTGTTTCGTGCTGTAGCAAAATCGCAAGGAATCACAGTAGCTAGAATTTGTGACATACTGGCCCTCAAAATTCGGGACGTTAATTGTGCAGCTGTGTGGTGTGTCGCTTGTAGATGTCGGGTTCAGTGATCCGACAAATGCAAAGTTGCTGGTCCACAAAAAGGACCTCACTAGAAGAGCTTAATCTGAAATCTTTTAGTCGCTCTGAGTAGGGAATATTCCCTTAAAATTCCAGCCTTCCAGCTTTTCTCATTCCCGATCTAGTAATTTTTCCGCTAAGATCTTTAGTGGCCGTACGTGAGCCCCGAGCAGTCCTGATCAATTGGATTTGAAATCTTTTAGTAATGCATGTGTAGGCAACATCCCCCTAAAGTATTAGCCTCCCAGCTTTTCTCGCTCCAGCGAGTTATCAGTTTTCTCGCCCTAATCGGGAACCAACTGACAAAATTTTGGCGCCAGGGATTGCTTGATTGCCGAGTTGAAATACTCGGACAGACAAATACACACATAAACACACACAGACAGGGTCGTCGCAGTGTACGCTTTTGCAATTTGCATACAAGCAAAAACACATAAAGATTCAAATATGCAAATGAACTGGATGTTGGGAAAGGATAAGGGCGGCCGTTCGCTGTAAAATGCACTCCTTTTCTCAGTTTGCGGTAAAGTTAAGTACTTCTCTTTTCCACCTGCAGGGGATTTCACCTCCAAGCACAATAAAGACCAATATGGAAGTCGAATATTACTGTAATATTTTTCAGCCTTACGCTAAAAATGAAATAGCCACTTTGCTACAAGTATTTTTGAAGTGTACTAGATCGCAACGCAAGTACAAATCGGTCAGCCACTGTTTTTCGACTAGTCTCGAGTTAACGTAGTGCCAATTGCAAACTTTGACGTAGGCGCAGATAAGCGCGCGATAGCTGAATTTGAAGTCCTTCGCTCGCATATGTACAGAAAATATCCTTGAGAAATTTAAAATTTCTACCTTTCCTGGTTCTCAAAATCGTTTCTCGCCAATGAAGTTTGTATAATTTTCTCGGGGACGCGTAAGAGCGAAAAA